AACTGGTACTTAGGCTTGATCTAAATGAAATTACACATTCAATTTTATTTATGCACAATTCTTTTATGTTAAAAAAAACATTAAAAGTAATCTTGAGTTCAGTCTTGCATAAAAATAATAGTGCTTAACGTAAATATGAAAGAACAATGGGTTCACATGATTTATAAGGATAAAATCGTTGATTTGTTTAGGAATCGTAAGACGATCGGTAAAATTTTGGAATTTAGAAACATTTGCGGTGGACGATGCCGGGGCCAGACTCATCGTACTCTTCCTTGGTGATCCACATGGACTGGAAGGTGGACAGGGAAGCCAGGATGGAGCCACCGATCCACACGGAGTATTTACGCTCGGGAGGAGCAATGATCTTGATCTTGATGGTGGAAGGAGCCAGGGTTGTGATTTCCTTCTGCATGCGGTCAGCGATACCAGGGTACATGGTGGTGCCTCCAGACATGACGGTGTTGGCGTACAAGTCCTTCCTGATGTCGACGTCGCACTTCATAATCGAGTGATACACAGTTTCATGAATACCACAAGATTCCATGCCGAGGAAAGATGGTTGGAACAAGGCTTCGGGGGCACGGAAACGCTCGTTGCCGATGGTGATAACCTGACCGTCAGGGAGTTCGTAGGACTTTTCAAGCGAAGAAGTTGCTGCTGCTTGTATCATTTCATTTTCAAAGTCTAAAGCGACGTAGCAAAGCTTCTCCTTGATGTCACGGACAATCTCACGTTCAGCGGTGGTGGTGAAGGAGTAGCCACGTTCCGTTAGAATCTTCATTAAGTAGTTGGTCAGGTCACGGCCGGCCAAGTCAAGACGAAGGATGGCGTGAGGAAGAGCATAACCTTCGTAGATGGGGACAGTATGGGTCACACCGTCTCCGGAGTCGAGGACGATACCAGTGGTACGACCGGAGGCGTAGAGGGACAGCACGGCCTGGATGGCCACGTACATGGCGGGGCAGCTGAAGGTCTCGAACATGATCTGGGTCATCTTCTCGCGGTTGGCTTTGGGGTTGAGGGGAGCCTCAGTGAGGAGGACGGGAGATTCCTCAGGAGCAACACGGAGTTCGTTGTAGAAAGTGTGATGCCAAACTTTTTCCATGTCGTCCCAGTTGGTGATGATACCGTGCTCGATGGGGTACTTGAGAGTCAAGATTCCTCTCTTGCTCTGGGCCTCATCACCGACGTAGGCGTCCTTCTGACCCATACCGACCATCACACCCTGATGACGGGGGCGGCCGACGATGGAGGGGAAGACGGCGCGAGGGGCGTCGTCTCCGGCGAAGCCAGCCTTGCAAAGGCCGGAGCCATTGTCACATACCAGTGCACTTGCCTCGTCGTCACACATGATGATCAACTAAAATCTGCAAGGAATGTGAAGACATTTCATGAGCATAATTTATAAAAAAGTGTATATAATTAGAATCCTCTGTGTATAAACAACAAACGCTAACATTCACTTATTCACACATGAATATAAGCACTCGTGTATACACATGTATGCACACATACACACCATTTCTTTAATGTAAATAATTCCAAGATTTCTCTTCCTATCTTTTTTTTTTCTCTTGTCTTGTCTCTCTCGTTATCTATTGATCTAACATGTGTTTACATCCAGACTAACACGCACGTATACAGACATACATTATGCACGTGTAACTTTCTATGCATATAATAGAACCTTGCATGAATAGATGGCATATGTATTTATATGAACACATGGGCATAATGTATACATTTATGTACTAGCAAAGCAACAAAAATGAAGATATGGAAGAGAAAACAATGATAGAATGAGAGATCACAGAGAGAGAGAGAGAGAGAGAGAGAGAGAGAGAGAGAGAGAGAGAGAGAGAGAGAGAGAGAGAGAGAGAGAGAGAGAGAGAGAGAGAGAGAGAGAGAGAGAGAGAGAGAGAGAGAGAGAGAGAGAGAGAGAGAGAGAGAGAGAGGTGAACAGAGGGAGACAAAGAGAGAATATGAAGTATACAGATCACTAGAATGCATTTTTGTGCAACCAAAAATATACTTCGTTTCTCAGGATAAATCCACTTCACATGAATTCGATGAACTAAATTCTTCCGACTTGAAATACTTCCACACACCAACACCAAAGGACTGAGAGAGTCTGTTCATCCCAAACCACGTAGACGTCGAAGGGCTTCACTTACTTCGAGCAATAACAGAGACACTGGCGTGAGCGACGACTCTGCGCTTCCCCTCGGAGACCCTCTGCCCGCAACAAGGCACTGCAAGACGGGGGTTTATTCACGATTCATATATCAATCTGTGGGTCATGTTGTGGCCATATATGTAGGCACAAGGCATCTTCCTTGCTGCCAAGAGCGTATTGACAATGACACTTATTGCTGCCAAGATAGACGAATGATTATGGTGATAATGAGCATGAAAAAATGGATCACTGAATATTGACCAGAGGGGACGTCTTTTCACAGTCTCGCTAGATGAAAGAAACCTCAAAAGGTGAAATAAATCGGTATATATTAGAAACGTAGAACAGTATGCCTTAGGTGGCATCGCGAAATGAGTTACCATTATAGGTCACTTGGCAGACCAATAAGTAGGGTGTCATCATGGAGCAAGAGCCAATACTGTCATTAAATTGCCTGACGCTGACTGGCACGCCGCTAACAAACCCGAGGGCCCCGTACCTCCTCAACTCTCCACACCTATCATCTTCAGGGCCAGTTCTTGTCGCTTTGCTTTGTCAACTGTATTTATCTCTGCCGCTCCCCTGTCTGTTTCTCTCTTTGCGGCATCCTCTGCCCTCATGACGTAACTTATTTTAAGCTATTTATTCTTCGTTGATCCTACTCCACGTTTAATAACATGAAGTGTAGATTTACTTTAAACCGTTATTGATTGGTGGAAAACGTGACTAAAATTTACTTTCAAAACACGGATGGCGGATATACCCTGAACCTGAACCAAGAATCTTTCCTCTTCTTTGCCATCTTATTTTGCTATAGTAACTTTTTCACCTTAATGTACGGTACAATAAAAGTATAGGCTTATGATGAGGATTCGATATTTGACCATTTGACACGTACACAGTAAACAAAATCCGTAATTCAGAACATACATTACTTATAAAAAAGTCATATGAAATATTTGTAGATTTTGATTTTCAGTAGCTATCCTATGCCAAATGCCATAAAATATAACTAGTGTATATACAGCCCATAACGCAAAAGGACATTGGTCACGTGCAGAGAACGATCATAAGTCTACGCATTCCACACGCTAAAGTCTAGACCGGTGCTTCCCAACCATTTTTTTCAGGCGACCCCAATCATGCGCCTCTAGAGATGCATAGGCTTATATTATATAATGATATCACATTTATATTATTCAACAGACATATACGTAATTCGATAAACAAAAATCCACAATTATGATTATTTTATTTAGAGTTTCATCAGAATTCAAGGGATTTCTTTTCGACTGCATTTTAAATTATTGTGTAATAATCAATCAAAGTTCAGCCATTAGCTCCCAATCAATATGTGACTACGTATATGCTGAAAACATCTAAAAATTAAGAATTGACCACGTCTGATATTTTGAGGTCTTGTCGAACCCAAGAAAAATGCTCGGTTACCCCACTTGGGGTCGCGACCCCTGGGTTGGGAATAGCTGGTCTAGACAAACAGGATTACGTTGATTGCCGAGCATGACCAAATTGGGATAAGGAAAGCTATGAAATAATTGCTAAAACTCCATTATTTATCATTCCTTCCTTATCAAGAGCTTAGATAATAATATCGCTTACCGCAAGAAACCTGGAAGCCACAGCATTAAACGCCACATGTTTTCAAAGAAGAAATTGATCCACTGCAAACGTGAGACAAGGACCAGACAATATGATCTTGTGACCGCGAGAATACAAACTGTACTGGCAGGTCTGTGAGGTATGCAGTGCGAAAATGTTGAGTTTAAACTTGGCAATGGAAAATATAAGCAAAGACTTACAATAGATCGCAGCGAACCATGTGATAGTCATTGAGATGAAAACTTCATCTCATGTGATATAGCAGAAATAAGATTATTTACGATCCTACATATGAGATGTAGTATACTATTCGGTTATTCTTTTATTCATCTACTCAGCTATTAATGTTATATCAAATGCAACGACGTTTACCAACGTCTGTACAGCGATTTGATTACCTCAGTTAATGTACTAGAAGATATAATCATATATGTACACACACACACACACACACACGCACACACACACACACACACACACACACACACACACACACACACACACACACACACACACACACACACACACACACACATATATATATATATATATATATATATATATATATATATATATATATATGTGTGTGTGTATGTATGTATTATATATATATATATATATATATATATATTATATATATATATATATTATATTATATATATGCATATACATACACACACACACACACACACACACACATATATATGTATATGCATATACATATATTTACACACACACACATATATATAGTATACACACACACATACACACGTATGTACATACCATACACACACACATGTATATGCATATATATTTATATATGTATCACACACACACAAACATGTATATTTATGTATCAATGAATATTTGTGTGCCTTTTGAGCCCCCCGGAAGATTCTCTATGCTTCCGTCTGTGCAGTTTAGTTTATGGATCTCTATGCGTGTGCAGTTGTATATATTGGATATTCATCTATGTTCATATTTAGATCTAGATCAACCTCTTCTCTTGGCATCCCTTTCTCTAAATCACCATCTATTTAATCCCAGTCCATACCTGTTTCTATCTCCCGATGTAGAAACGACCATATGGGTATATATAAACACTAACATTTATGTGGTGCGACTGTCCGAGCATATTTTCATTTTATAATTCTTATATGTGGACAATGTTTTTGAGGCATTCCTTCAAAAGAAAAAAGAA